GATGGCTTGTTTTTTAGATCGTAAACATTTTTACGACATTACGACCTTTTCATGCTAAAGAGCCATTGCCATTTTAAAGACACCATCTCGTTTTTTACACGATTCCTACTTATTCCGACTCAAAATTTTGAAACTAACATTGTTTTTGTATTGACACATATTATTGCTCTACGTTAACTAGACATTGACTTGCAACAACACTGGACCGTTGTATATAATAGTGGCAGGATAGTGGCCATCATGTTTTTCCGATATGTTATTAGTATAACACTTGCACTATACCGAGTTGCAGTGCATTTCAGTTATTGTATTTAAAACCATCGATCTTAACTCTCTAGGACGCTGCACGTGAATGGACGTGATAGGGAATGTCTCAATTTATGCTTGAACGCATACACATGTGACTTTACTTGATATATATGGTTGATTTGCATAGTTCATTTGTTGAACATGTGCCACATATGTTGTGGTGTGCTAGCTCTAGATACTTTCTTATGTCTTCTATGTGGCCTAGCTGTATCCCAAGTAACATCTGGTGTGTGTGTGTGTGTGTGTGTGTGTGTGTGTGTGTGTGTGTGCGTGGCGTGCGTGCGTGGCGTGCGTGCGTGCGTGCGGCGTGCGTGCGTGGCGTGCGTGCGCATCAGGGCGTCAGTTCCTATTTTTTTCTTATTTTTTTCGACGTAATTTTTCTGTGGCAATTCCTATTTTTTCCTAATTTTCTGGACAAATTCCTATTTTTTTCTTTTTGAGGACCTTTCATTTTTTCTGATATCCAGAATTGTATGTATCTTTCTCAGAATGCAGGATTTACAGTTTCCCGAAAAGGGTGACCCGAATTTTTCAAAATTTCTGGGAGAAAGACCCCCAGACCCCCCAGCCCCTTACTTTAAATTAACGTAATAACTGTTTACTATCAGCCAGATACTTAATTTCAGTAAAGGTTGTTTCTCTCTGTTGGTATGTGGTATGTGTATCCAGAGGGGGGGTCCAGGGGGTCCGCGACGCCCCCTTTTTTACCCCAAAAGGGAAAACACATAAAAGATAATTTTCTGTCTTTAAAAACTGTGGAATTCCATCTGTGCATCTAGACATCCTAACAATTACTTGCTCAGATGCTCCAGAATGCACACAATTTTTGAAATTTTTTTTTGGGGGAGGTCCGCCGCATAACCCACCCCCCGCCCCCTCCAGTGGCACATGCGCTTAGACTCCACGCAATAAGCTGCCTTCTGCACCTATTTTATAAAAGTGCCCTTTATTTCTTACTGCATGGACGCCCCCCTGTTTTCAAAAAGCCGGATGCGCGCCCATTATAACAGTGTAAGCGTCATAACTATTTTGGAGTAGTCTCATCGTATTGGGTGCTTATGCACTGTATAAACTGCTTTAAATCAATTTTAACATGCATTTCTCATTAAAACGTCAAAATATTGTTCGCATGTGATGTAACTCCAAATATGTATATTAATAAAACCATTTGTGGTGGATCGGGATGGCTTTAGGGGTGTTGGGAGGCCATCTAACGCAACAAATATTCCTATTTAACATATATTTTCTCACCAAAATTCCTATTTTCCTCCTATTTTTTCACATTGAAATTTCTATTTTCCTATTTTTTGAGCGTCACTTGTCAGTTGACGCCCTGGTGCATGCATGCGGTTGTTTGTTTGTTTGTTTGTTTGTTTGTTTGTGTTTGTGTGCGTGCGTGCGTGCGTGCGTGCGTGCGTGCGTGCGTGTGAGTGTGTGTGTGTGTGTATTTATTAGCTTGTTTGCTTGTTTGTGTGTGTGTGTGTGTGCGTGCGTGCGTGCGTGCGTGCGTGCGTGCGTGCAAGCTTGCATGCGTGTCTCGCTCTCTCCATTCTTTTCTCTCCCTCTCCCCCCCCCTCTCTCTCAGAGCCAGGTTGCCTCCTCGGGAGTCTTACAGTTAAAACCTGTCTGGTGTTGTAGTTCCACACTCAATAAAACTGCCCTCTGGTGTTGTTATGGTCAGTTTATTTACATCAGACCAACGAGGAATTGTCCAAGACTAGGCAAGTCACCAGTAGGGGTGGGGCGATACAGGTAGCTCAAGATACAATTCGTATCAAGATACGTACAGCCTTATCGATACGATACGTATAGTGATACTTTCCTATTAGGAGAAATTGCCTGGTAAACTATCAACCGTGACTCTACCAATTGTGTGAACGTTTACAAAGCAAGTGTCGTAGCACGTTTAGTAAACAACGGCTATGGAATTGTGAATCGTGTTTTTTTAATGAAATTATGCTACTATTGATATGGATTTCTTCCATAGAGTATCGACGCATGTATCATGAATAATCAAATGTACCGATCTACGTGTATTATCAAGGTAGACTTTAGCGACCAATGAAACTCTCTCAATGAAACACTCTAATAGCCACTGTTCACTTTATCGTATACATGTGCTAAGCAAGGCATAGACAGGTGATGGGTGTCAGAAACGTGGTGTACGAAAACATTTTACGAGACAATACTGAAATTTGACAATTGTATTATTCAAATGTAAAATTTTGAGCAGATTAACTATTCGCCATAAAGTATTCGCCACTTAGTGTAGTAAAATTGCCACTTTTATTTATTTATCAAATTTGATGAAGGTGGCGAATGCCAGTGGTAGCCCGGATGATACAGTTGGTGTATCGATGAATTGTCCCACCCCTATAGTCCCTAGTCAGTCTTTGTGAGTACTGACTTATTGGTGACAGGAATAGTTAGTCATACCGGTATAGACGATGTCGCAGTCTGGATATACTGTGGGGATTAGGACATTCTCTCGAAGGTCAGTGCCGTGGTTCTCCAATGACAGTCAGAATGCTTGTTCATAGTCGTCGCATCATCCGGTAATGTCACTATGCCGGATAATTAACCATCTTTACTTTAATTATTGACTACCGACAACGATGTAAGCAGCTTGCTTGCACTTCCTGGTCATTTCCCACGGTCCGTATGATCTCTTATCCTGTCAGGGCAGCGACGGTTCTTGTACATTGGTTCGGAGTTGGGATGAAACAACGGTTTTCTGCATTGTCTGTGTACAAGGATGGTCGTTCTGATGATGCCATTATCATAGAGACAACCACTTACGATTCTGTACATTGATCTGTGCTCTCTGTATCACCTTCTGCCATTGCCTTTTTATCATGGTTTTTCTTCGTAGAATCCTCTGGTGTCTTTGTGCAGTCTGCATTGTAGACGTTTTTGCAATGACTTACATAGTACATGTAGTTTTCGTCCATTTTGCTGCCTCATCGTGCTCTGTCTCTCCTGACCTAGTTGTATCCCCCATATATGTCTGTCCAGCCGCCGCCGCCGCTCGCCGCCGCTCGCCGCCGCCGCAGACATTTTTCCTTCCGCTCTATAACTCGACCTTTAATTGACCTAGCGCGACCAAACTTGGTATACTTACACATCTTGGGGAGAAGGTGTGACGCATACCAAAACCAGGTCACTGCGACTTTTATTTGACCTTTATCATATTTCCTTTCCGCTCTATAACTCGGCCCCTAATTGACCTAGCGAGACCAAACTTGGTATACTTACACGTCTTGGGGAGAAGGCGTGTTGCGTACCAAAACCAGGTCACTGCGACTTTTATTTTACCTTGACCTTGATCATATTTCCCTTCCGCTCTATAACTCGGCCCCTAATTGACCTAGCGCGACCAAACATGGTATACTTACACATCTTGGAGAGAAGGTGTGTCACGTACCAAAACTAGGAGATTTTTCATTCATACTAGATCGTGGGGGATACATGTGGTTGGCGACAACTGCCATTTCTATAGTTATATGAATATCATCATCTCATGCACCTCACTTATTACAAAACGAACAGGGTGTAGGTGTGTCTTACGTTTACATACAAGATCGAGCTACCCAAGCAACTTATTTTGTGCAAAGTACCTTCGCTACGTACTCTGCGTTCTTCCTGTCCTCTTAAACCATGCACGTTTCACACGTGCTAGCACGCCAACAACTGTACCCCTAGAACATTCAAATAGCACACACGTCTGCTGCAACCAATTGACATATATATACTTGTGCTAAACTTATAAAAGACGTGTTGCACCACAGTTACCATTAAACTAACGAAATCTATATATGGCTCACATTAAAACAGATTTTACATAAAAACAGCTGCCTGGTTAGGCCAAACAAAAAAATAGGTGTGTTTCCTATTGCATCGAAAACAAAAGTAGGGTAGGTAGGTAGGGATTTTTTTTAAAATAATATCCCTCTGATGCATGCTATAAAGTGGTGTATAGGTAGGGATAAGTTAGTAAGCAAGTACAGAACGGGTTTGTAGTAAAAAATCTCAAGTTTTGTCTGTCAGATTTCAAATTTGGAAAAAAAGTTTAGGGTCGGCCCTAATAATCTAGGGACGGTCGGTTGACCGGAAACACACCTATTTTTTTGTTTGGCCTTACTAAAATACTAAAAACTCCTTTCCAGCTGAAAGTAATATTTGTGTACCTTCACAGGGTTCTCCCCAGGATGAATGTTCATTGTTGCGCATTTTAGACTAATTTTTTTTTTAAAACGTTTAGGGTCGGCCCTAATAATTAATCTAGGGACGGTCTGTCGACCGCAAACACACCTATTTTTTTGTTTGGCCTTACTAAAATACTAAAAACTCCTTTCCAGCTGAAAGTAATATTTGTGTACCTTCACCTCGAGCAGCTCTACATTCATGTTCATTGTTGCGCATTTTAGACTAATTTTTGTCGTGCAATCTCATATATAGCTTTCTATGATGTTTTAAGGGTTATTACCTGTGAAATTCAAGGTCTGGTCCTTGCCATCTTGATTGTGTGGAATGGAAAAGCCATTATCATATTCTGTAGGATGCAGTTAATTGTTATATAAACCCTAATTAATTCACTGATCATTCTAAACTCTATGATTTGCAGTTTTTCATTGCAGTTCGTTTCCGTTTTGTTGTGGCTTGTCTATAGGATAAAATGTTGTTTTTTATAGGTCTGAGTGACGTTCACAGAGTGATAGAAGGAAACACAAACATCTCGCAGTTTACTGGATGCTAATGGCTAATCTATCTGCTGCAATGCAATGCCAGCGATCAACAGTCATGGATGCTGGCTGAAATTCAAAGACTGGACACGCATTGTAGTAGAATATAATTATGCAACTACGTGACTATGGCTGGAGGAGCAGCTGTAACAATTCAAACATCTACTGTCAACGGTCGATGGCATCATCTGCTTGTGGGATTGCCATTTTGATTCAAATTTCACGAGGTGTATACAGCATACCACAATCACACCTTGAGTCGTCTCTGTGCTAGAAAGGCATGATGAATTTGCACAATATGATGGCCAACCATCCAAGGTTTGGTAGCGAGGGCAGTCCTCTTGGAGTCACAGACGCTCATCACGTTGCAGCTGTGATAAAGTCCAGTAACACTTCGGTTGGTTGAAACTTTAAATAGCCAATGCCAAAACCAAATTATTATTAATAATAATAATGATTATGACTATATTATAACAGTAATTGATCATATGACTTTATTTATGTAATTCGTTTATTGCTTATTAGTTCGGCAGTAAATGTGTTACTTTTCGTGTACAGGTGCTGATAGTAGATAGCAGGTCATTCTTGGAGTACAACACATGCCACATAGCACATGCTATCAACATATGCTGCTCTAAGCTAGTAAAGAGAAGGCTTCAACAAGACAAGGTACGACGATTTTATGTTCTCCTTCCGTCGCTTCATTTTAAATTTCTTGTTACTTCTGCTCTGTTTTCTTCCCTTCTCTACTCTTCTCAGCATTCCTGGTACTACACTTTACTTATCTGTTCACATTTGTTAGATTTTTCATTGTTCTCAATCTGTATGTGAACATAATCTTTCTGTCGCCCATAGTTTGGTTTTGGTAATTATTAGCTGATTAAAATTGTCATCCTGCATATGAGGTGGGACACCCCTTTATTGCATCTATTTGCAAAATACTTCCTGGTTTTGGTTTATTAAGATTTTACTGGCTGTCTGGTCTTCAATATTCTCAATGTCGTGTGTTACATCCGAGAATAATTATAAACATATATATACTAGTTACTTAATTGTCATATTACCTTTCATTCAGACATATGTCTTTAAATTAGTATTTGTAATCTAACTAATCTTATAGTGTCTATATGCTGTCTAGTTGAGGCAGTTTTGTCTTAGTGAAGTTATCTTCTTCCTCGTGTATACGGGCCCTCCTCGCGAGACCCAAGATCATCTGTTACATCCTGTTTGATTGATCGCATTGAATTAGTGCTTTATTCAAAATCACAGAAGGACATGGTAACGAGTCAAACATCCACTGGCTCTTATGTCTTGGACTGCAAGGGGGGGGGGAACCAAATATAATCTCATTCCTTTATTGCCTTAATTTTCCCAGGTTTAATTACTATAGTCTATACTCATGTGCCATATACCATGAAGTCGAATCAGGTTTTTATGATATAATTTTGCCCATAGTGAAAGCATCCTGCACTTTTTAACCTGCTACCCAGTATACCCAGCCTGCATCTATAGTCAATGTGTCATTGTTATTATGACAGATATGTAAACCTTTTGCTGATTATATAGTGGCTATATGTCTGCTATAATAACCAGGAAATAGTAATGAATGCACGCTACAGTAATGTAGGCTGATAAGAACAATATACTGAACTAACTATAGTGTTAGGACACTATAGTAACATAGAGGAGGAATTTTCGTTACACGTAACGTTTACTTGTGTGTCATATGTATGAGTAGCATGTACAAGTTTTTATGTATTTAAGCATATAATTTAATTATAATATAATTCAATGTGGTGATAATACTTGCACGGTAAACCATGCATAAGTTAACGAATTCTACTCTTCCTTTTCCTTCTCCTAGATAACTGTGAAGGAGCTAATTTCCCAAAACTGCCAGATGGATGCTGTCGAGACATCAGACATCATTGTATATGACGAGCACACAGAGAGTTTGGATTTCATCTCAGAGGAGAGCTTTCTTTATGTACTGATCTGCAAGTTGCGAAAGACCTTCAGCAGTGTGAGCCTCCTTCAAGGTGCGAAACTTGCGATTGGTGTCAGATAAACTAGAGGTTCTGTGACTTGCAGATGGGAATTTGCCTGGGAAATTACCATCAGAAGTCATGCATGCTGTGAAATCACAACTGGAAATTTCTCCTGGGAATGTTATGCTAATTTAAATTAGATTATCATGAGTTATAACAGTTTTGTTCATAAATGCATAACGCATGCATGTGAGTATAACGAAGCTTGTGTCTGTCAGCATGTAGATGAAGGTTGTGGTCTAGTGACGCTGATAGGGTCTATGTCTCCCTGGGTACTGCCGGAACATACCCTGGGTACGGTTCGGTATACCGGCCCGTACCCTGGTAACTATCTGATATGGTTAGGGTTAGGGAGTAGGCGTAGGCGTAGGTGACATATATGTACCTGAGGTAACTATCTGATATGGTTAGGGTTAGGGAGTAGGCGTAGGCGACTCCCTAGACTCGTTAGTGGAGTAGTTGAGGTATGGTCCGGCATATTAGATAGTACCAGGGTACGTTCCGGCAGTACCCAGGGAGACATAGACCCTGGCAGCTCTAGTGACCGAAACACATATTGTGTTTTGCAGGCGGCTTCCTGCGCTTCCAGGCAGCATACGTACGCCTCTGTGAGAACAAGAACTCGAAATGTGCTACGATGACGACGCACTCACAGCCGTGCCTCCCCGTGAGCTCTAGTGGGCCAACGAAAATTCTGCCTTTCCTGTTTCTTGGCACACACGACGATGCCCTTAACCAGCAGGCACTCAGTGTGAGTGAAAATGGTCATGTATCACCTTCATATAGTGGCGCCACCTAGCTGTTGTCAACTGGAATGTGCCTTTTAAAGGCTTATATGACACGTCTCAGCTGTTACTGAGGGAACTAGTGGCTGGTTTGTACAGTATTCAGCAGCTTGTTTACAAACCTGCATGGAAGATAACTTTCAGATACACGGAATTGATTATCTCTAGCACGTCACATGGTGAAATCCTTTGCTATAATACTCATGTTACCTACAACAATTTATACATGTGATTTGTTTATAATATATATACAGTGTATATAATAGTGTTGAATATATGCATGTATGTAGTACATGCGGTCCATTAAGGATACACTCAAGCTTATTGTTCTAATGGTGATCGAGTAAATGTTTATTGACTATAATGAATTGAATCAATCACGTTTTATTTATAGATGAGAGGTATATCTCTATGCTCAAGCCAAAAAAAATCATGACATTTTGACCACCTAATTATGGCTCAAGGGGTCGTTGTCGTATCAGGTACTACACATATGTACCCGACTTACATATATATGTATATACACAAAGTGTACCAGACTTGTACTACAGAAGTGTACCCTAATCCTAACCCTAACCCTAACCCTAACCCTAACCCTAACCATAAACATAC